GATTGTTTTAAAAAGGGCAAGTCGGTCTGGTAATGTTTTCTCCCATTCTATCCAGAATTTTTTGTCTTAGTAGGTGCTACTGTTACATCCGCTAGTGTATGGTTTTAACAAAGAAATTTATTTTCTTATAGTGTAGGACTTAGAAGTCCAAACTCAGGGTGTCACCTGTAGGGGAAGGCTGACTTTCGGTTGATTATGGAATAAAATCCTTGTTTCCTGCAGCAGTAAAAAAAAAAAAATCTTGTTGAAGGTTATTCAGATATTCCTGGAGCAGTTTATCAACAGGAACTGCCAGAAATTCAAGCTGGATTCAGAAGAGTCTACAAAACTATAGATATCATTGCTGATGCCAGATGGATGGATCTTGGCTTAAAGCCAAGAATACTAAAAAGATGTTTACTTGTGTTTCAGTGACTTTGCAAAGTCACTTGACTATGTGGATCAAAATAAAGTCTAGAAATTCCAGAGGACTCAATTGTGCTAAAGCACAACTTATTTACAAACCAAGCAGCAGACATTCAGACAGAACAATGGGATACTACATGGCTTAAAATCAGGAAAATGTGTCAGGATTGTATTCTTACACCATATCTGTTCCATCTTTATGCTGATCAAAAGATCTAAGAAGACGGACTGTATGAAGAAGAATGACGCATCAGAATGAGAGAAAGACCCATAAATAACTTGTGTTTTGCAGAACTTAACAACTTTTGTTTTGTTTAACTCAACATTTCTTGCTGAAATAAAGAGGACTTAGATAATTTCCTGAAAAAGATCAAGGATTATAGCCTTCAGTATGGATTATAATTCAACATAAAGAAACAAAAATCCCCACACCTGTATCAATGAGTAACGTCGTGATAAATACAGAAAAGATTGAAGTTATTATAGATTTAGTTTTGCTTGGATCCATAATCAACACCACAAAATTATGAGGAAACAGCAGCCAAGAAATAAAAAATTGTATTATATTGGAAAAAAAATCACCTCTCAAAGACCTCTTTATACATTTATTTTTAAATAAAATTTTTATTATATACTGGTTTACTTAAAAACGTGCATACATTGTTATTCACACTGGATGTTTCCCATTTTCTTTATCTGCCCTTTCCCCCTCCCTTCACTCATCAAATTGTGTGATCCTATGGTTAAGTACCTCCCACCCCTCCTCACCCCTCTGCTCCCACATTTCCCCCCTTTGGATCTTCATACATGTTCTACAATAATGGTCTTATATATACAGTATTTGTCATTATGGGACTGAGTTAGTTCACTCAGCATAATGCTCTCCATTCCCTCCCATTATGTAGTAATTGACAAAATTATTGCTCCTCTGTGTTGCGTACTATTCCATTGTGTGAATGTACCATAATTTCTCAATCCATTCTATTGTGGTTGGATATTTGGGCTGTTTCCTTGTTCTTGCAATGGTGACTAATGCTGCTATGAACAATGATGTACAAGTCTGTGCCTCCGTTCTCATTTTCTTGGGATATTTTCCAAGCAGTGGAATAGCGGGATCATATGGAATTTTTATATTCAGCTTTCTGAGGATACACCAAATTGCCTTCCACAGTGGTTGTGCCATTTTACAATTCCACTAACAATGTATAAGAGGTCCTATCTCTCCACATCCTCTCCAAAATGTATTCCGTGTTACTCTGTTAAACTTTGCCACTGCTACTGGGGTGAGATGGTATCTCATTGTGGTTTTGATTTGCATCTCTCTTATGCAAGTAATTTGGAGCACTTCTTCATATATTTGTTGGCTTATTTAATATCTTCCCCTGTGGAAATTCTTTCCATGTCTTTTGTCCATTTTATAATTGTGTTCTCTGTCTTTTTCTTGTGGAAGCCGAGGAGTATTCTATAAACTTTTGTTATGAGACACTTGTCTGAGATGGTATTGCCAAATGTTTTTTCCTAGGCAGTAGGTTTCCTTTTCACTCTTTTGGGAAAAGTTTTTGATGTACACAGGGATTTAATCTTTAGAAGGTCCCATTCATCAATTTTATCCTTTTCAGATTATGCATTTCTGGCTGTATTTGGCAGCCTCTTTACACCATAGATTAGGTCATCTAAACTTAATCCCAGTTTGTCTCTGATGAACTTTATGGTTTGGGGCTTTATTCCCAGGTCTCTGGTCCACTTTGAGTTGATTTTTTGTGTATGGTTTGATAGGTGGATCCTGTTTTAGCTTTCTGCTGGTAGCAGTCCTGTTTTGCCACGACAATTTGTTGGAAAGATTGTCATTTCCCCACTTGATAGGCTTTATTTTCTTGAAGAATATCAATTGACTATAGATAGCTGGGTCCATTTCTGGGATCTTGATTCTGTTCCATCTGTCTATGGGCCTATCATTGTACCAGTACCATGCTGTTTGGTTACCACTGCTGTGTAGTGGGTTTTGAGGTCAGAGAGCGCTATGCCTCCCACTTCATTTTTGTTTTTCAAAAGTTTGCTTATTCAGGGTCTCTTTCCTCTCCAAGTAAGCTTGACAATTTCCCTTTCAATCTCCTTTAAAAATTAATTTGTTACCTGTATTGGGATTGTGTTGAACATGTAGATTGAATTTGGTAGGATTGTAATTTTAACAAGATTGAGTCACAAAGACCTCTTTAAAGTGCTAAAGAGCATGGATGTCAGTGTAAAGACAAAGGTGAGCCTGACTCATGCCATAGTCATTTCAATTTTTTTCACACACATGTGAAAAGTTGGACAAGAAATAACAAAAACTGAAGAATCACTGCCTTTGAATTGTGGTGTTGATGTAGAGTACAGAATATACCATGGACTGCCAAAAAACCTAAACAAATCTGTCCTAGAAGAAATACAACCAGGGTGCTCCTTAGAGGCCGTAATGGTTAGAATTCCTTCCACATACGTGGGTCATGATATTAGGAGGTGTTATTTCTTGGGAAAAGACATATGCTTGAGAGAGTGGATGATCATGAAGAAAATTAAGATTCTCAGTGAGATAGACTGGCAGCATAGCTGCAAAAATGGGTTTAAGCGGACACGGCACAGTCCATTCTTTGTGCTCGGGCCAAGGTGGTAAAAATCTTGCTTCGGTGGGCGACGTG